TGGGAACTTAAAAGAGGCTACATGATTGGTCATACCAACATGCCAAGGATCCAGTATGAGAATGTGATTTCCCCAGTTCTTTCTCAATTGTCTCTAAGTACCTAGGTTGCTGCCTAGTCAGGTAAGAACTGCAGTATCTACCTTGCAGCACAAAATTTGCCTCAGCATGGGACTCCCTATCTTGTACAGATCCCTAGCAATGGTTTCCTGCAAATCAAAAAACAGCTGTGGAGACTGTGAGCCTACAGCAGGAACAGCCTGTGTACAAGATTTGACTGGGGGAGGGGCACATTATGCTCACCTACCAGGAATACTCCTGTAGTGCACCAATCAAAGTTGAACTACACCCATGTTCATCCAAAGAAGAGGAGACAGATTTCAGTGCTACTGCTTACTTTAACTTTGGAATATTTTCCTGTGCCCCACAATCACACCCAGTGATTGATTACATTGATTATGGTCAAGGTAAAACTACAGCCTCATCAAAGGCTCCTAAGTAAGCTCAAAAATCATGGGATAAAAGGACAAGTCCTTTTATGGATCAAAAACTGGCTAATAGAAAACAGAGAATGAGTATAAATGGGCAGTTCTCTCAGTGGAGGGGGGTAAGCAGTGGGGTACCGCAGGGATCAGTACTTGGTCCACTGCTTTTTAACTTGTTCATTATTTATTTGGAGTTGGGAGTAAGCAGTAAAGTGGCTAAATTTGCGTATGATACGTTGTTCAGGGTGGTGAAAACCAGTGAGAATTGTGAGGCACTCAAAAGGGATCTGTCAAAGACGGGCAAGTGGGCGTCAACATGACAAATGGGGTTCAATGTGGCCAAGTGCAAGGTGATGCACATTGGAGCCAAAAATCCTAAATATAAATACATGTTGATGGGGTCTGAATTGGCAGAGACTGATCAAGAGAGAGATCTTGGAGTTGTAGTAGATAATGCACTGAAAATGTCGAGACAATGTGTGACTGCAATAAAGAAGGCCAATGCTATGCTGGGGATTATTAGGAAGGGTATTGAAAACAGATCAGCCAATATCATAATGCCCCTATATAAATCAATGGTGCAGTTCTGGGCACCACACCTTAAAAAGGATATTATAGCTTTGGAAAAAGTGCAGAAAAGGGCAACTCAAATGATAAAAGGGTTGGAACACTTTCCCTATGAGGAAAGGTTAAGGCGCTTAGGGCTCTTTAGCTTGGAGAAACGACAACTGAGGGGTGACATGATTGAGGTTTATAAGATTATGCATGGGAAAGAGCAGGTAGAGAAAGAGGTACTTTTCTCCCTTTCTCGCAATACAAGAACTCGTGAGCACTCAATGAAATTGCTGAGTGGTCGGGTTAGAACGGATAAAAGGAAGTACTTCTTCACCCAAAGAGTGATTAACACATGGAATTCACTGCCACAGGAAGTGGTGGCGGCTACAAGCATGGACGGCTTCAAAAGGGAATTAGATAAGCATATGGAGCAGAAGTCCATCAGTGGCTATTAGCCACAAGGTATAGATAGGGGCTCTGGGGCAAGTGATGCTCTGTCATCTTGGTGCTTGAGGGGGGGTCAACAGTGGGAGGGCTTCTAATGTCCTGGCCCCACTGGTGGACCTCCTGATGGCACTGGTATTTCTGGCCACTGTGTGATACAGAGTGTTGGACTGGATGGGCCTTTGGCCTGATCCAACATTGGCATCTCTTATGTTCTTATATACAGATTTGTCCTAAAATGTGGCTGAGTGGAAACAATCTGTCAAGGAAAGCTTCTCATCAACAGTGTTCAGAGCTTTATCCTTGTCTTCTCTATTCACTGCAATACAGCATTGCCCCAGAGTTACACAATATTGCTTTTTCAGATTCACGGTTTTCAAACTGCATGCTTTCTTTTCACAGTTATGCTCTACTAAAATTCCTTTTCTTTTTTGTCATTTCTATGCCATTTGCAGGCTTCTGCCATGATTATTCAAAACAACTGCCTACTGCATGCTTTACCAACATCAGGTTACCAAATTCTGTCTAGACTGCCCTTAACTGCTTCTACAACTTCAGGAATCAGTCTGCCATCAGTTATAATCTCTATTTAACTGTACAGATTATACCATTTTCTTGCTTTTAATACTTGACCCCATTGAGACTAACATTAATCTGGCATTTATAACCTTTTGTGTAACATCACATAATTCTATACCATGTAATAAACTGCAATTTTCTGTAACACCCAGAATTCCAGCAGCATTTAAATTTCTACAGGTCACAATCTCATATGAATATAAAATTATTCCACTGTGGCTTCTCTTTTAGAGTGTGACAGCTTGCTGTTTATTATTTTTGTTGCAAAAGGGGTAATTGAGAAATATTCCACTCTAGAACTTACAAGATTTCGAGAGTCTATCTCCAAAGAATAATGTGCTGAATTATTGTTCACAACTTTCAGTTCCAGACTTTCATAGGTAGGATTAACCAAAGGAATGTATTGACGGACCCACCTGTAACAAGGCAAAAAATCAGACTAAATCAATAAAAAGCACTACATTGATTTTGGTATTACTTAATATTCAACTGACTTTTCCTTATTTGAAAATTAAGAGGATTTTAGGATACGCTTTCACTATGGTCTTTCGAGACCAATACTTTCCACCTTCATTAGCAGTAACTCTCAGATGATTACAATGTCTTTTCCATAGTTGCTGTCTGTAATCTTTTAACCTGAGTTATCAGGGACTAAACAGAGCATGCATTCTTACCACAGAGCTGCTCTCAAGCTCTGTCTGTATCAAGCTATGTTCATATCCATGTTTAAATACCGGTAATAGGCACTGAATAAAGTTCATACAACATTTTTAAAATACTATAATTAATACATGATCAGTGGCCACAGCTTTGTTATTCCTGAACTGAAGCCTGGGATATTTATGATCAATTTCGCTCTCTTTCCAAGACTAAACATGCTATAGATCATTTTAGCTATGCATCAGTTACAGAGCTGTTAAACAGAAATATTTGATAGCAGGGAAAGGGTTATGCACATATATTTTTTCCTTATACAGCTATAACCCTAAATGCCGTGAAGTTTGCCCTCAGTAAAATTGGACAAAAATTAATGACAACCAAACCATAAATGATGATACCTGTATTTCCCTTCAACACAAGTAACTGCCAAGAGCAACTTGTAATTAAGTAACTCCTCCTACAGCATTTGATTTACCGCCACAAAACTGTAATTCCTCTTGATCATCTTGCAACCTTGAGCACTCAAACAGATGACCTTGTATGTATCCCATTTTAAAACAGGATCTCCATCCCCTACTCACTCCCTCATTTTTGTCCCATGTAATTTTGAACAGCCTTTGCATTTATGGTTAAACCATCATGATCAATCTTTCAATTTAAATATATATTATATCTTTTTAAAAGAAAAACAGCCCAATGAATTATAACAGTGAAGGTATATTTTATAAACCTGTGTAACACCAGCAATCTATACTTGAAAATGTGAGGACAGAAAGGAATATTCAGGAAAAAAGTTCTCTGAGGCTGCAGTCACACATACTAAATAATCCACTTTCAATCCACTTTCAATGCATTTACCAACTGGATTTTGCCAGTTCACACAGTAAAAATCCAGTTGGAAAGTGCACTGAAAGTGGATTGAAAGTGGATTATTTAGTGTGTGTGACCGCAGCCTAAGAAGAGGACTCCAGGTTTCACAATGTTGGCTTTATTTTTATTAGCTTATAATTTCCATAGTAATTTTAATTAATGAGAAAAGTCACCATAAATCATGTGGTGATGGTATCACAGGGCACAAAAAGTAAATGCAATACAGGCAGGGGGGGACAGGCTAATTAAGGAACATTATCTCTGTGGCAATGCATCATACTGGGGTTCAGAGCATCCTCACAGCCTGAACTCTCTTCTGAAATACAGTATCCCCAGACAAGGAAAGAAGGAAGAAACAATGAGCTCCTTTTCTCCGTCAATATATAATAAAGGGATTGTTGAAGGTATGCAAAAGAAAAGCACACAGGTTATGTCATTTCTGCTCTTCAGTGTTATAACTGAAAAGCCCATAAAATGTTGAAAGTCAGAACACGCTAGCAATGTTCATCATATGAACAGGACTTCTCTCAGGGCTGAAGATACTGACAGCATTATCAAAGCACTAGTGATTCTTTGTCCTTGTGGAGGAATGATGAAAAGTACATGACACACATTTCTTCAATCTATATTCCTTCGGCTGGTTTGTATTATATAAACAAGTTTTTGTAAAACCCGGATGATGGGCAGCTTTCATTCATGTGAGTGAAGTGTTCAATGACATGCCGACTAGAACTGCTAAAAGGAATAGAGATTGAGCACCAGGAAGTCTGCCACAGTGTCCTTCATTAACACCTGTAACAAATTGCTTGCTTTACAGTCTGAAACTTCTGCTCCTCACACGTCAATGCCAAGAGTCTGGTTATTAAGGGATCAGTCCTGATCAGTGTACTGCTTTAAACTGACATAACTGGAAAGTCAACCCTACTGCCTGCTCAGACTATCATGCTCATCCAAGAGATCAACCCATAATGTAATCCCGTAGAGTTCACCCTCCATTTTCTCCAGACAAACCGATCTCTGCCATCTGGAGATCTGTTGAAATTCCAGGATATCTCCAGGCCCCATCTGAAGGCTGGCAATTCTAGGGGGGATGTAGACTACTAGTTTCATATTAGACTAATCAAAACATCGCAAAACAGTGAATGTCAGATTTTGAGTTCGCCACACCTCTACATCAAGGTAGATGTTAAGTACAAAAGGAGTGAAGGGGAACATATTTCAGTGCATGTTGGAAGAGATCTAAGTCTGCCAACTGTATCTTACTTAAAATGGAAACCAGCAGGTATTGAAGATTTAAATTAGACTACATGGCAATAAGTGCAAGCCAGATTTCAAGAAGTCCCAGAGGCTCCAGATAATGGGATGAGACAGCAAAAATACTGTCTTCTTTCAAAAATAATAAAGCTAGCCATTCATGAGAACCCTCCACATCCTATAATATAATGGAGAGAGAAAGGTGATCATATATTGCATGAGAATATTCAGAAGAAATTAAAGCAATGATTTCATACTTACTTTCCAAGCTCACACTCTACTTCAGGCAATGTTCTTGGCAGAGGTTTCTTAGCATTTAGTCTCAGTGCATACCAAAACTCTCCTGTCTTCTCTGACACAAATATAACACTAAAATAAAAATTATAAACAATATGCAGCTAAGAGGACTTCGTATATTTTGCAGTAGCAAAACTGTACATTCTAAGCATATTCAGATGAAAACATGTAGAGAAAGTATCAATAAGTATTTGAATCTACATCAACTATAATTCTATTGTTGATATATTCAAATACTTCATTGATACTTTCTTTACAAGTTTTCATCTGAATATGCTTAGATAATAAACACAGTCTTCTTTTTTTGCTAGAATTTTTTTAAATGCTGTGGTTAGAATACCAAGGGTTTACAATAATCCAGCGGACATTTAGATGCTTATTGTTTGAAAAGTTATAACAATTCAGACCTGTAGCTACAGTGGGGCATCTTGGGGCTAGGCCCCCTGACTTACTGTCAAGGCCCATGACTTCCCATCCAGCCCAGGGCCCCCGAGTAGTGGCAGGTGTAAGGAAGGAGCTGAGTATTCCTGCACAGCTGTCTGGCATGAAGGGCCAGCTACGGTGGCCACATGGAGCCAGACGACACCTCTCTATTTTCACCAGAAACTGAATTAAGTTACCTTTAATTTGATTAGCCAGTGCCCCCTAAGAAATTTAAATGCCCCCTGACTTAAAAAATCCTGGCTACGGGCCTGTAACAATTGGTTTATCATGCCTCCATAGTTTCAAAAGCACTTTACAATGTACCAATAGAGCCTGATGTTCAAGAAAAAGTAAGTATAAAGCCCTTCCAGTCTTGGGGAAGTAGTTTCATTGGATCCTGGTGTTATAAGTTTTCTTTTCCATTTGTCTGGCCTTCTATAATCTCCATACCTTGATAACAGTAATTGAAGATTAGAAATAATGGACAGAGTCAGCACTATTTTATTTGCTATTTTAAGAGAAGGAAACACTGAAGCATGTGTGTGATGGGCAGTAAATGGTTAAAGTTGTAACCTGGTCTGAGAAGCTTGAGTGACGGGGGTTCAAATGGAATTTTTTGAGAGAGTCAGGCCATGGTCACACTGGCAGCTTGGCGCGATATGGTGCCGCCTCTAATTGAACTGGTTTAAAGTGCTGCGGGGCATATTAGCCACACAGCACACCCTGCTGCAGGTTACCCATGGAGACATCCCATGGTAAAGCATCCACATTACTGCAGTGCCTCAGCCATGGAGCACACTGCAAAAAAAGAATTTCAAAATTCATGTGCATGCATGGCGTGCATGTGCACACACATGTGCACATAGGCAATTTTTTTTAAAAAAACTGTCTCCCTAGTGGCAGAACGGATCTGCAGGTTCAGACTGCCAAATCCATTCTATGTGTGCTCTCCCGTGTTCAGAGATCCAGCCATGCGCAATGACTGCGCGGGGAACCTAAAACACCACTTGCGATGTGGTGCCTTTTTAACCTGGCTCCAAGTCGTCCTATGACAGGATAAGTATGGCTGGGTAATGCCTGACAGATGTGGCTGTCTGACAGTGCCCATTTGATCCAGACGGGAGGAATGGCTGTGTGGGGCCAAACTGCCCGTATGATCATGGTCTCAGTTAGGAGTGGCAGTTGAGAGCTGACAGTTAAGAACTGACAGTTGACTGGGGAAAACTGGCCCTGCTCCATACAGCCAAAGGACTGTAGCAAGATGTATAGACATAGGGTGTATGCACAACCATGGTCCTACGTTTTGTAGCATTCCAGACTGGGTGTAGGACTCATTGCAGACATTTGGCTGTTTGTGCAGATATCCAGGAGTGGGGCCACTGGATGTGACTCCACTCCTCAATATTACTATTAGTGTATGGACTGTGTATGGAGTGTATAGACTGTGATAAACACAGAGGGTGCGTTCAGATGGGGCGTTTCACCCAGCATAAACTGTACCGGTTGGAACCGTTACAGTTTATGCCGGCTGAAACGCGATCACACTTACCTCCTGTCTGCGGATCCCATCGCTGTATGCCCGTTCACATGCAGCGGGTGTCAGCTTTTTTTTTTTTTTAAACCCTCAGTTTGAGCATGCGCATAGGCAGCCTGGGGTAGCAGAAACCATCACATTACCCCGTAGG